AGAGACAGGGTTTCACCATGTTGACCAGGATGGTCTCGATCTCTTGACCTCGTGATCCACCCGCCTCGGCCTCCCAAAGTGCTGGGATTACAGGCGTGAGCCACTGCGCCCGGCCTACCCTGTATTTTCTATAGCTTGGGCAAATTGACAGATGTGCTACAAAATGGAAGCAATTAAACAGCGATCAATCCAGACCCTTAACGCTCAGAGTTACTCATGCCTGGCTGCTTGTTAGAAATGCAGATTCTTGGGGTCCTCCCCAGACCTACTGAATCATTTGAATAGACACCCCAGTTGATTTGCATGCACATGAAATTTGAGGGGCTTGCTGCTCTGCATAGACACCTTTCTCTGCCATTGTTTCTTCCATTGTGAATAATCTTATGAGTCCATGAAAAGCAAACACATGAATAGGTCATATTGTGGGCTGCAAAAGACAAATTTGATATCAATGCAACATTTGCTATCTTTTTAACTGAGTTTAACGTTAACTTACTCTAATAACTTCTTTTGAATAGATTTTTAGGAGAATCTGTGGTCATACAAGAGGAGAGGGAAGATAATGGGTAAAAAGAAGTCAGCAGGAAGGAAAAGGAGGGTGTTTTCTCCAATGGCACAGACCAATCATTTGACACCCTTAATGTGTTATCAAATTTCTGCAGGGGTCAGATGTGAAGCCCATTACTTGACATGCCCGCTGGGTGGTCTGGACTTTGAACAATGGCTTCTCCCATCTGGAACCCTCTGCTATTTTACAAACGTTTCAATAGCTCTGCTGAAAGCAAGGAAACAACAGCTGGTGAATAATCTCATTCTATATTAATAGAGCATCGCTGACCCATCCAGGTCCCTTAATACTTCACGAAACAGAAGATCCTTTCTTTCCCAGGGCAAAGAAGGGAAGTTTCAGCCATACCACATTACAACGTGAGTAGAAGCACTGCAGGAGAATGAGCAGAAAGAATTTTTTTTTTGGCAAACCCACTTCATTGGACTTTTTCAGATGAGGATTAAGTTAGGCTAAGGGAGGATGGAAGAGAATATCTGCATTAAATCCCTGGACTTTACCTATGCAAACAAATAACCAGAAAGTAAGAAGATTCTTGCCGCAGCCTTGCCTCTGTCTTCTATATGTGCAGCTCTTTCTGTGAAATCAAGGTAGAGATGTCAAAGTTAAGTGACAACCTGAAATATAAATGTGGACTATTTTTAATACCAGGGCTAGCTGGTGGTTTAATGTTAGCGGAGTCAAATAAAGCAGAATGTGACAACACTACCAGTTAATGAGTGTTTGTTCCTGCGCCAGTAGCATTTTTAACACTGTAGAGAATTGCAAAGGAATAAGGAATAATCTGTGATTTCAAGGAACTTCATTTGGCTAGAGGATTTCTTCAAGACAAATGACTAGAAGCAGGGATGTAAAATATAAACTGAAAGATATATACCTTAGCCAATTATACCATCACTAACACATACAGAAAATGAAGATTTTAAAAAATAAAAAAAAAATTTTGAGGCGGAGTCTCACTCTGTCACCAGGCTGGAGTGCAGTGGTGCGATCTCAGCTCATTGCAACCTCTGCCTGCTAGGTTTAAGCGATTCTCCTGCCTCAGCCTCCCAAGAAGCTGGGACTACAGATGTGTACCACCATGCCCAGCTAATTTTTGTATTTTTAGCAGAGATGGGGTTTCGCCGTGTTGGCCAGGATGCTCTTGATCTCTTGACGTTGTGATCTGCCCGCCTCAGCCTCCCAAAGGCTGGGATTACAGGCATGAGCCACCGCACCTGCCTTTTTTTTTTTTTTTTTTTTGAGACAGAGTCTCATTCTGTTGCCAGGCTGGAGAGCAGTGGCACAATCTTGGCTCACTGCAGCCTCTGCCTTTCAGGTTCAAGTGATTCTCCTGCCTCAGCCTCCCAAGTAGCTGGGATTACAGGCATGAGCCACCACGCCCTGCTAATTTTTGTATTTTTAACAGAGATAGGGTTTTACCACGTTGGCCAAGATGGTCTTGATCTCTTGACCTTGTGATCTGCCCACCTCGGCCTCCCAAAGTGCTGGAATTATAGGTGTGAGCCATCATGCCCTATAAATGTTTTGATTTTATTAAAATCAAATTAAAATGTTTTGATTAAGTAACATTTCTAGAGATTCTGTCAAGACTTTTAAAAAAATTCCTGGAGAAAAGTAATTCTTTAACATTTACGAAAGTTCATTTGGGTATTCCTGCTCCAGTTCTCTCAGTGTGGAATAGATGGAAAGTTGCTAGAAGGGAGTGGTTATGTGCCTCGGGAGGAAGCTGGACCAGGAATAGAGACTAGTTAATGAGAGGTAGGGAGAATGGCGGAAACTTCTTAAAACAGTAGTTCCTAACCTTTGCCTTTTGTTTGGATCAAGAACTCTGTGACGGTTAATTTTATGTCTCAATTTGGCTAAGTAACAATGCCCAGGTGTATATGGTCAAACATTATTCTGGACATTTCTGTGAGGGTGTTTTTGCGAGAGATTAAGGTTTCAATTGGTGGACTCTGAGTATAGCAGATGGCCCTTCCTAATGTGGGTGGGTCTCCTTGAATCCACTAAGAGACTGAGAAAAACAAAAGACTGACTCCTCCTGAGCAAGATAGGATTATCCGGCCTGACAGCCTTCAGACCTTAACCGCAGCCTTGGCTCTTCCTTGTCTCCAGACTGCCAGCCCACCCTGCAGGTTTGGGACTTGACAACCTCCACAGTCATGTGACCCAATTCTTTAAAATAAGTCTATTTATAATCATATCCTATTAGTTCTGTTTCCCTGGAGAATCCTAACACAGACCCTTTCGTGAGTTTTTAGAAGGAATATTTATTGAATGTCTTCTATTTGCCCAACTATGGACCCTCTTCCTAGAAAATTGCACACGAATACAAAATTTTACACATGGTTTCCAGGGAATCACCAAACCTTTGAAGCACATCCATGGATTCCCTTCCTTCATTTAGAAACACCTGGGCTGGCTGGGTGCGGTGGCTTATGCCTGTAATCCCAGCACTTTAGGAGGCTGAGGCTGGTGAATCACCGGAGGTCGGGAGTTCGAGACCAGCCTGACCAACGTGGAGAAACCATATCTCTACTAAAAATACAAAATTAGCTGGGTATGGTGGCGCATGCCTGTAATCCCAGCTACTCTGGAGCTTGAGGCTGGAGAATTGCTTGAATCCAGGAGTCACGGGGTTGCAGTGAGCCGAGATTGCGCCACTGTACTCCAGCCTGGGCAACAAGAGAAAAACTCCGTCTCAAAAAATAAAAATAGAAACCCTGGGCCTCCAGCTCTTTATATAAAGGACACATAGCTGAATATTTCCCCATCCAAACATTCCTGCTCTGAAAGCAGTTCCCACCTGGTGGGTGAAGTGAGGAGTCTACCTGCACAGAGTTATCAAAGAACCAGGAAGGCATCGGGCCACAAACCTCCCTCTCCCTCACCTCTCTGGGATGCTGGAATTTCTACGTTAGCATCAGCACTTTGGGGTGGATGTTGGTTCATTTAACTAGAATAATGCATTGTTACTATTCATAACAATGGGTGTGGCTGAGACTAGCTGGTTATTCTGAAGCTAAAACATCAGCACTGCCTTCCTTGACATTCTCCTTATCTCCTTGTCCTTGCTGATGGACTGTGAATGAAGGTGATGTGTGTCACCTCCAGTCAGAGGCCATTCAGATGGGGATGCCTTTCATGCAGATTCAGTGAAGGACTTCTCTGAGGTATAGACAGAGGCCCAAGAGGGCCAAGGGGCCAGATCCTCTTTCTCCTGCACTCCACACTGGACTGTGACACAAGTAAAAGATCAACCTTCGTTTGTGTTATTTATGTTAAATGACTGAGATCTAGACCTTGTCAGCTTATCCTGACTAATGCACACAGGAATTTTACCATTAGGAGAAAGATATTAGTGAAATATTAGACAAATACCAACTTTAAAACTCTAATATGATCTAGGCCAGGCACAGTGGCTCATGCCTGTAATCCCAGCTTTCTTGGCTGGGCACAGTGGCTCAGCACTTTGGGAGGCTGAGGTGGGTGGATCATGTTAGGTCAGGAGTTCAAGATCAGCCTGGCCAACATGGTGAAACCCATGAAAACAAAAAATACAAAAATTAGCCAGATGTAGTGGCGCACGCCTGTAGTCCTAGCTTCTCAGGAGGCTGAGGCTGAAGAATCACTTGAACTCGAGAGATGGAGGTTGCAGTGAGCCAAGATCGTGCCATGGCACTCCAGCTTGGGTAACAGAGCACAACTCCGTCTCAAAAAAAAAAAAGAAAAAGAAAACCTTTGTTTATGATGCTGCCTATGTATGTGATTGGCTCCCCCCGCACTCACTTTTTATTTATTTATCTTTTTTGAGATGAGGTCTCACTCTGTCGCCCACTGGAGTGCAGTGGCATGATCTCAGCTCACTGCTACCTCTGCCTCCTGGGCTTAAGTCAGCCTTCCGAGTAGCTGGGACTACAGGCGCATACCACCACATCTGGCTAATTTTTTTTTCTTTTGGTAGAGACCGGGTTTCCTCATGTTGCCCAGGCTAATTTCAAATGCCTGAAGTCAAGTGATCCACCCGCCTCGGTCTCCCAAAGTGCCAAGATTACAGTCTTGAGCCATTGCACCTAGCTACCCTCACACCCACTTTTTAAAAACTTTATATTACAGAAAATTTCAAAGATATACGAAAAAGGGAAAGTAATGTAATGGATCATCATTAGGCTTCAACAATTATCAATGTGTGGAAATTCCATTTCATCTATTTCTCCCTATCCCTTATTCCCTGTTTTCTACCATTTCACTGAATTATTTTGAGATGCATCCCAGACTTCATATCATTTCATTCATACATATTTTAGTATGTAGCTCCAAAAAATGGATTGTTTTTTGAAAAAAACATAACCCTGATGTTATCACACCTAAAAAACTTCCTTAATATTGGCAAATATTCAGAATTCAAATGTCTCCAATCTTCTCATAATTTTTTTTTTTTTTTTTTTTTTTTTTTTTTACAATTTGTTTAAATTAGTATACAAACTTGGTCCACACCTGCAGTTGGCTAATATGTCTAGTGGCTTTCTTTTCATTTACAAGCTGCCCTGCCTTCTTTTCTTTTCTTTTCTTTTTTTCTAATTTATTTGTTGGAGAAACTGGGTCATTTGTCCTGATGAGTTTCCCACATTCTGAATTTTGCTGATTGCATCCCCCCGTGGTGTCATTCAACCTGTTTCCCTAAGCCCTGTATTTCCTGAAAAGTTTTTGTTAGATCCACAGCTTTGAACAATTCCTGCTTGATATTTTGACAAGGTTATTTCAAAGGTGGTGTTGTGAGCTTCCTGTTGCATCTCATCAGGGGCACATGTCTGCTTCTCTCCCATTTTTGTAATGTCAGGATTAATTAGGGGGTTCAGGTATTGCCAGCTCAATCCACCCATTAGAGAGTTCCCCATCAGCATTTCCCCTAATAGTTTTAACAGCCATTGGTGATCAGTGCTTGGATATATTTTTTTCTATGATTGCAAAATTATGGTATTCTAATTCTATCATTCCTCATTCATCTATTAGCTGAAATGCTTCTAAAAGAAGACCTTTCCCTCAACAACAATTTAGTTACCCTGAAATACAGTTCATATACAAAAGACAAATGCTTGATTCTTTCCCTTTTTAAACCAGTTTTCAGAGTAATGAGTTGGTTCCCTAGCAACCTGTAAAGGTGACCTATGAGAATTTTTTTTTTCTGGTATAATTATAAACTC